GACGTAAGCACTTGTTGGTTCCGTGGTGCCTCTGCTTGTTGTCGCACCTTGAGAACGCTCGTCAGCTGGGCCATCCTGGTCCGTGCCTCCAGGGTCATTGTCGGACCCTGAAAAACCTTCTGCGCTTCCCCAATGCATTGCGGAGCTCTGAGCAGAGCAAGATGAGAGGACACAAGCCGTGGGTGGTTCCTCTGACTTGGATGAATGGACCAAGCTATGAATAAACCATGCGTGAGGAGTCTATTTTTTAGGCGCCTCAAAAATAGACTCCTCATGCATGGTTTTTTTAGGCGCCTCAAGGTGAGAGAACACAAGCAGTGGGTGGTTCCTCTGACTTGGATGAATGGACCAAGTCATACCGCAACACACCTTGAGAACGCTCGTCAGCTGGGCCATCCTGGTCCGTGTCCCCAGCAGCACCGTCTGCCGCAGAATTCCCAGCGCATTTCATGTCGGAGCTCAACCTTCTGCAGGCGAACTTCCAGAGGCGCCTAAAAAAGAGTCCATCTTCTACAGGAGCAGCTCCTGTGCTTTGCAATCACGCCATGCCGTGCCACTGAGAACGCACCTTGAGAATGCTCTTCAGCTGGGCCATCCGTGCTTTAGCCTCCACCACGATTGTCTGCCACAGCTTCCCCAGCGCGTTGCGCAGCTCCGTGTTCTGCAGGAGAAGCCCCTCTGCTGACACTAAGCCGTGGTTACTGCTTGTTGACGCACCTTGAGAATGCTCTTCAGCTGGGCCATCCGTGTCCGAGTCCTTGTCTGCCGCAGCCCCAGTGCGTTGCGGAGCCCTGTGCTCCGCACTGCAGGAGAAGCCCCTCTGCTGTGGATCCAGCCATGCCGTGCCATGCGACTGAGATGAGAACGCACGTTGAGAATGCTCTTGAGCTGGGCCATCCGTGCTTTAGCCTCCAGCATCATCGTCTGCCGCAGCTTCCCCAGCGAACTGCGCAGCTCCGTGTTCTGCAGGAGAAGCCCCTCTGCTGTGGATCCAGCCATGCCGTGCCATGCAACTGAGATGAGAACGCACCTTGAGAATGCTCTTGAGCTGGGCCATCCGTGCTTTAGCCTCCAGCATCATCGTCTGCCGCAGCTTCCCCAGGTTGTTGCGCAGCTCCGTGTTCTGCAGGAGAAGCTCCTCTGCTGACATCTGGCTGCCAGCAGCGTCCCATTTCCACGTGGCGTTGCTGACAGCAGCCACGTCAGCAGCCGATGAAGCAGCAGCTGCTGCCACGTTGGCAGCATCAGCAGAAGCTGAAATGGGCATGGAAACGCCACCACCAGCACCAGCAGCAGAAGCTGCAGCAGCAGTTGCAGCAGCAGTTGTAGCAGTGGAGGGTGAGAAAGCACTTGAGGAGGAGAGAGAGGTGGTTGCTTCACCAGAGGAAGGGAGAGGAGGCAATACCTGCAGAATAAGAGGGAGAGGAGATAGGGGCTTGAGAACCGAAGCAGAGGAGAAGGTGCTGCTGAAATGAGATGACGGCGGGAGCCATGCGATGAGATGATGGGGGGAGCCATGCGATGAGATGATGGGGGGAGCCATGCGATGAGATGATGGGGGGAGCCATGCGATGAGATGATGGGGGGAGCCATGCGATGAGATGATGGGGGGGGCCATGCGATGAGATGATGGGGGGAGCCATGCGATGAGATGATGGGGGGAGCCATGCGATGAGATGATGGGGGGAGCCATGCGATGAGATGATGGGGGGAGCCATGCGATGAGATGATGAGGGGAGCCATGCGATGAGATGATGGGGGGAGCCATGCGATGAGATGATGGGGGGAGCCATGCGATGAGATGATGGGGGGAGCCATGCGATGAGATGGTGGGGGGAGCCATGCGATGAGATGATGGGGGGAGCCATGCGATGAGATGATGAGGGGAGCCATGCGATGAGATGATGGGGGGAGCCATGCGATGAGATGATGGGGGGAGCCATGCGATGAGATGATGGGGGGAGCCATGCGATGAGATGATGGGGGGAGCCATGCGATGGAAGCAGGCAAGAGAGCCATGAGACGACATGAAGCGGGACTTCTAGTTTTTTCGGGACGAGCGGGAAAGAGACTGCCTTGGGGCGAAAAAAGGTGCGAAGGAGGAAGGGGACGGAGGGCGAAGCAGTGAGAGGGATGCGACGAGAGGGAAGCAACGAGAGGGATGCGACGAGAGGGATGCGACGAGAGGAGAGAAATGAGGGGAAAACGGCACTCACTGCGGGTATTACGGAAGCAGCAAGGAGTCCCCCCAGAAGCGAGCCAATGAAAAGCGACGCAGCCCAGCCGACAGCTGTCCGCCTGTGATTGGAGGGACGGTGGGGATCAATATGGAAGGCGACAGCTGGACAAGGACGCACGGGACGCGGACGTGTTGAGCTGACAGCAAGCATTACGGAGTGGCGCTGAGGCCCTACGAAGGTAAACGGAACGAATAACGAATTCTAGAGGACTCTGCGCAGCGAAGCACGGAAAATATGTCGCCAGAACGTCCTCAAAACGTATCTTGACGGAGTTGCTATTTGAGAATTCGAAAAACGTCAATTGTCGCCAGAACGTTTCCGTACCTTGACGGAGCGTCGTCAGAACCCCTGGACCTCACTGACAGTGCAGCGGGCCTCGTTACAGCGGGCTTCGTTACGTTAGCACCACTCGTTAGCGACGCACCGCTTGCTAGAGCAGTACGAGTGGAACTACCCCGCCCTTGACCGACGCCGACGGACTGCATCTTCGCGTCCGTTCTCTTAAGAGGGGGAAAATAATAACAAGCGAAAAGTCGGGTTATTTCATCTTGTTACAGCGGACGACGCGGAGAATCCCTTTGTACCGGGTGTTTAATTCTACTCAAAAATTGGCTTCTACGCGGAGAACCCCTTGTACCCCTTGTAAATGCTGCGAAATGCAACCACAAAGGTGAGCGGACATGGCGGCGAAACCAGCAGCCGCCATGGGTTGCCAGAAAGAAACTGACGTTGTTTGTGACCTATGGGGGATGCTTCCAGACCATTGTGCTGAAATCGAGGAGGTCATTGTCTGTTGATGAAACACTTCACACAGCATTACTGTACAAACTTTCTGTATGAGCAATATGGCAGCTAGCAATACATACAATATGCATTCACCTAGGTGCCCTCTAAAACTTATGGAGATTCGTTGTTCAGAAAACCCACCGCACTAGTTCTTCATTTTACCATTCTCTATACATTATCCATCTCAAACACCCCGGCTAAGCCCTTGTTGAGCTCAGCTCCTAGTGAAAGCAAGTCCTTCACAAGACCCACACTATCATCTACAACTTCAACCCTAGAACTCTCACATCCTCTTCCAACCCGCTTGTCCTTAAAGTTCCCCTACGTTCCTCTAGGGGTATCTTTGCCCCTTGCTCAGGTTTTCCTCGTCTCTTCCAGCGGAGAGTAGGTGTCATTCGCAAGCAGTGCACTCCTCTCACTGGTAAACCTTATGAGGCCAAGGTTGGAGGAAGTTTGAACATGGCTGAGCTGTGTCTGCACAGAAGTTGTTCTTTCACTTCATACTTACAGAAACAATGCACAAAGCAGCCTACCGCACCACATACCCCCCTACCACTTGGTACCCGTTCAACCCCATCCAGGGCTTGTCTAGCGCCTTACAAGCGCCTCCTTACAGCAGAATAAACTACTGGATAGTAGCTCCTGAAACTCTCCTGAAGCAAGTATTTTCATGCTGCTGCCTTGCCCTCTTGTGAAACCCCAGATTCTGGTTTGGCAGCTCCCGATATTTGTAACGATTCCGGTTTCCCGATTTCAGCCATTTCGTCAACCGATTTCGTGAGGAAATTAAATACTTCTTCGTTCCACGGCTGGTTACCACTCGCCGGACACGGCGCCTTGAAATCCGTCGCAAGCCAAGCGTCCACAATCTCTTGCCCTTTCTCCGGGGAGGTCTGAAACTGGCCCATGCAGAGTACGTTACAGTTGTTGATCGACCTGGCATTCTTCGCCACGTCAGCACTGTCGCACAGAACAGCGTACACTGTCGGGATTTTATTCGCGAAAACTGTAACGCCGGTGCCGGTGCCGCACACGAGCAGCCCGCGCGTGTCGTATGGAGGAGAATCTGTCGCTGAGCGACCAGCAGCGACGCTTTTGGCGACGCGTTCACCCGCGGTGTAGTACTTGTCTTCGCCGTAATCTTCAACCTGGATGCCTTTCGAGCGAAGATAACTGACCATGGCGGTTCTAAGAATCGCTCCGTAGGAATCAGATGCCGCGAAGATACGAAGCGCCGGCTTGGCGGGCTCCATGCTTGTTCCGAGCTGACTTGAGTTTAGGTCGGTGGTACTATTGTCTAGCTTTCCGTTGGTAAATCAGCGACACCGTGAGTACAGGAAAGCTCGGCGGCTAAAATTTCGAGATTCCGGCGAGACGACGTGGTCAGACTAGAAGCAACGAGAAGAACGAGAAGAAACGCGGGAAGAAACTACGAAAACAAAGCCAATTAGGGAAAGGGAGGAGAGTTACAGATGAAGGCTGACCTCCCAAGAACATCGCGAGCAGGAGAGCACTTGAGAAAGACAAAGGCGGGTTCATTAGATGAATTGCCTTCCAGCTCTCAGAGTACTTGCAATACAGTCCGTTCCTGACCCCTGTGCTGAGCTGTTTTCATAAGTGCTCACTTTCAATACCTGACCCGGGATTCGAATTTGGATTAAGAAAGCCATGTGGATGCGCTCCAGAAATGACCCGATTTCAGCCGTCAGGAGCTGGAGAACAGGACACGTGGATAGAACTTTCCGCAGTTCATTGGCCAGCGACAGCATCAACAAAGAAGAAGCCAGGTCACTCAGCCAGCATGGCAAAAGCACAGGATTACCGCCTCCGTGTCCCCAAAATCTCGTAGGACCAGCATGCGGCAAGAGCTAGGATTCGTCGATCAGTGCTGAGACTGCGTTGACCACAGAATCGCGTTATACGGCTTTTATGGGTTCAGGTAAGACGAACTCGAAGAATACTGACTACTTTGACGACATAAAACGATCAGCCGAATGTCAAAGTGTTAACAAAACATCACAATGATCTTAGCAATCCCAATGCCATGATGAAATCGGACGGAGGTGGTACTTCAAACGTTACAAATTCGAGTGTTTCCGGGTGTACAAACCTGTGCACATGGAACAAATAACAGTACAATACATGTTTCGAAAACTCGAAATGTAACTCCAACCAGCAATTCATACTTTGCTTACGTATCAACTCACCCGAGTGTGGCTGCATGGAGCAGCGGCCGATCCAGCCCAGCAATCCACTGAGCCACAGAGGAGCGGAGAGGCGATGAGGAGGGCAAGGAAGCCAGGAGGCGAGATGACACGTGGCGTATGGATCCACCATACGTTTCATCACCGATCAATGGATGGCCTAGAAACCGTGCATGCACTCTAATCTGCATGTGAGAGCAAATACAAGGCAGTGGCAAAGAAGAGAACGATTATGGAAAATCTTGTACAAAATACAGTCTATAACTTCCCACACCCTGCACAACCACCTGGGCCCAATTATACAACCCACACTCCTGAACAAGCCCTGGCGCCCTTGGGGAACTTGTTGTTTTAAACACACAACTGTGTATTTGTGATTTGCCCATCTGATGCCAACAGCTCACCTGACGCCTCTGACTCACACCTGACGCCTCTGACTCACTCACTCACCCACCTGGTGCGACCTACCAATCTCCAGCCTCCACTCCACCAGAGCAGCACATCTGCCCATCACCCTTCCTACCTGGTGCCTGCCAACCACCCGCCTGGTGCCACCCACCCACCCCATGTTGACCCCCATCCCACTGGTGGCCCCTGCCCGCCCCTCCACCCCACCAGAGCAGCACATCCGACCGCTCACCCTTCCTACCTCGTGCCTCCCACTTACATACCTCATGCATCCCTCCCACGCACCTGCTGCCTCCCACTCGCCCACCAGGTGCCTCCCACTCGCCCACCAGGTGCCTCCCACTCGCCCACCAGGTGCCTCCCACTCGCCCACCAGGTGCCTCCCACTCGCCCACCAGGTGCCTCCCACTCGCCCACCGGATGCCTCCCACTCGCCCACCCGCCCACTCACCTGGTGAGTTCTGCCCGTCTCCAGCCTCCATTCCACAAGAGCAGCTGCTCCTCCAGCAAGGGACTCCACCACTCGGTACCTGATGGAACAAGGGCAGGCAGCAAGGCCCACGGCAACAAGGGCACGTGCAACAAGGGCACGTGCCACAAGGGCACGCAACAAAAGATGTTCTGAGTCGACTTCAAACACTCCAGCACTCAGTACCTGATGGAACAAGCGCACGCAGCAAGATATCCTCAGATATCCCAGTGCAGCAAGATATCCTCAGATATCCCAGTGCAGCAAGATATCCTCAGAGTGGTCTCCAAACTCTCCAAGGCTCCGTGCCTGACAACACCAAGAGGGGCTGAGGCGGAAAGAATCCGAGTCATGCATTTGACTTGTGAGTCGTCTAAGGGTCCACCTCACCTGCTGGCGGCTCTTCTGCTCCTGTTGGAGCTGGTAAGAGGCAGCAGCACCACCATGCATCTGCTCTTGAGTCGACCCCAAATATGACTTGTGAGTCCCCTCACTGTTCTTCTCACCTGCTGGCGGCTCTTCTGCTCCTGTGGGAGCCAGTCATCGGCAGCACAGCCATGCGCTTTCGGTCCTTGGGGTCTCGGCCAATGGGAGCGTCCACACGATCGGAGTGCGGTGCGGGCGTGCCTGAATGGGCGAGGGCACAAGATAGTCACGTAGTTGTGCATTTCCAAACCACGCGTATACGCCTTTCACAGCTCCATCTGCTAAGCTGAAAAGTGAAAGCACACACACACACATAAGTGCAATAGCACACACACACATCGTGCTCGTTGAAGTCAAAAAGTGCGAAGGACCCATCACTCATCGTGCTCGTTGCAGTTGGATAAGTAACGGGCAAGGACCAGCATGCCTGTCCTCATACACCACGTCCAGCGCACCAGCAGACGGCTCACATTAATACTATACTATGTATGCAGAGGTCCGGGGGGGGGTATCACACCACGTCGACAGCCTTATTGACAACCACCACGTGCCCGTCCTCGTACACCACGTCCAGCACTATGGCAGACGGCTCCAGCGCCTGCTGGAGCAAAACGCTGGAATCTTACTCACCAATGACAAGAGAGAGGTAGCTTCTGTGAACAGTGCGTGCCTTGAACTGCGCACTCAAGTGCGCCTGGCTGAAGGAGTCCTGGAGAGACAAGCAGGTGGGAGATGAAACAGTGGGAGATAACTATGGTTTGTGCTGGCGATGGACATGAGGTGGGAGCAGGGAGGGAGTGCGCATGGAAGGATTGAGAGTGGGATGCGGAAGGGGGGGGGAAGTGTGTGGGATGCGGAAGGGAGGGGGAAGTGTGTGGGATGCAGAAGGGGGGGGGAAGTGTGTGGGATGCGGAAGGGGGGGGGAAGTGTGTGGGACAGGGGGCAATGCACTACATAGTGCACCTCGGAAAAAGGAAAGCACAGAAAGGGAGAATAGGATTAGAGAAGTTGTAAGTAAACGAGGATGCAGCAACGAAGCTGGAGAGAAAAGGCAGCCAATCACGAAAGCTGGTGCACCTTTGCCACGACAAGCAGCCCGCTGGTTCCCTTGTCCAATCTGTGCACGATTCCTGGCCGCACATCCGCTCCCCCTGTCATGCCCATGCGCACATCTACTCTCGCTAATGGCCCTGCTCCGAGCCCCTCCCCGACCTCCTCCCCTTCCTTTCCCTCCCCCCCTCTTCCTCCCCTTCCTCCTCCTCATCCTCCTCATCCTCCCCTTCCCAACCAGCATCTTCACAGCCTTGAGACGACTCCTCTCCCCTCTCCTCCAAGAGTAAGTCGGAGGAGGAGGGAAGCGAGGAGGAGGAGGAAGGGAGTTGGTAGTGGTGCAGCAGGGCGTTCACGAGAGTGCCTTGCCAGTTGCCAGCGGCGGGATGAACCACCTGCTCTGGAGGCCAAGGGGCGAGTGGACAGACCAAGATAGCAGACAGAGAGTGTTATGAGGAGAGCAGGAGGAGGAGGAGGAGGAGGAGGAGGAGGAGGAGGAGGAGGAGGAGGAGGAGGAGGAGGAGGAGGAGGAGGAGGAGGAGGAGGAGGAGGAGGAGGAGGAGGAGGAGGAGGAGGAGGAGGAGGAGGAGGAGGGAATCGAGGAAAAGCATTTGTAGTGGGGCGGCAGGGCATTCACGAGAGTGCCTTGCCAGTTGCCGGCGGCGGGATGAACCACCTGCTCTGAAGGACAGGGGAAGTAAGGAGAGGGTTGCACAAAGAGAAGGCTGACGAGTCGACAACCACTTGCCCGTTCAGGCCCACGGCGGATGGCTCAGATTCAATACTGTACTACGCAGACGATGTGCTGCGCAGATTCAATACTGTACTACGCAGACGATGTGCTGCGCAGATTCAATACTGTACTACGCAGACGATGTGCTGCGCAGATTCAATACTGTACTACGCAGACGATGTGCTGCGCAGATTCGATACTGTACTACGCAGACGATGTGCTGCGCAGATTCGATACTGTACTACGCAGACGATGTGCTGCGCAGATTCGATACTGTACTACGCAGACGATGTGCTGCGCAGATTCGATACTGTACTACGCAGACGATGTGCTGCGCAGATTCGATACTGTACTACGCAGACGATGTGCTGCGCAGATTCGATACTGTACTACGCAGACGATGTGCTGCGCAGATTCGATACTGTACTACGCAGACGATGTGCTGCGCAGATTCAATACTGTACTACGCAGACGATGTGCTGCGCAGATTCAATACTGTACTACGCAGACGATGTGCTGCGCAGATTCGATACTGTACTACGCAGACGATGTGCTGCGCAGATTCGATACTGTACTACGCAGACGATGTGCTGCGCAGATTCGATACTGTACTACGCAGACGATGTGCTGCGCAGATTCAATACTGTACTACGCAGACGATGTGCTGCGCAGATTCGATACTGTACTACGCAGACGATGTGCTGCGCAGATTCGATACTGTACTACGCAGACGATGTGCTGCGCAGATTCGATACTGTACTACGCAGACGATGTGCTGCGCAGATTCCATACTGTACTACGCAGACGATGTGCTGCGCAGATTCAATACTGTACTACGCAGACGATGTGCTGCGCAGATTCAATACTGTACTACGCAGACGATGTGCTGCGCAGATTCGATACTGTACTACGCAGACGATGTGCTGCGCAGATTCGATACTGTACTACGCAGACGATGTGCTGCGCAGATTCGATACTGTACTACGCAGACGATGTGCTGCGCAGATTCAATACTGTACTACGCAGACGATGTGCTGCGCAGATTCAATACTGTACTACGCAGACGATGTGCTGCGCAGATTCAATACTGTACTACGCAGACGATGTGCTGCGCAGATTCGATACTGTACTACGCAGACGATGTGCTGCGCAGATTCGATACTGTACTACGCAGACGATGTGCTGCGCAGATTCGATACTGTACTACGCAGACGATGTGCTGCGCAGATTCAATACTGTACTACGCAGACGATGTGCTGCGCAGATTCAATACTGTACTACGCAGACGATGTGCTGCGCAGATTCAATACTGTACTACGCAGACGATGTGCTGCGCAGATTCGATACTGTACTACGCAGACGATGTGCTGCGCAGATTCGATACTGTACTACGCAGACGATGTGCTGCGCAGATTCGATACTGTACTACGCAGACGATGTGCTGCGCAGATTCGATACTGTACTACGCAGACGATGTGCTGCGCAGATTCGATACTGTACTACGCAGACGATGTGCTGCGCAGATTCAATACTGTACTACGCAGACGATGTGCTGCGCAGATTCGATACTGTACTACGCAGACGATGTGCTGCGCAGATTCGATACTGTACTACGCAGACGATGTGCTGCGCAGATTCGATACTGTACTACGCAGACGATGTGCTGCGCAGATTCGATACTGTACTACGCAGACGATGTGCTGCGCAGATTCGATACTGTACTACGCAGACGATGTGCTGCGCAGATTCGATACTGTACTACGCAGACGATGTGCTGCGCAGATTCAATACTGTACTACGCAGACGATGTGCTGCGCAGATTCAATACTGTACTACGCAGACGATGTGCTGCGCAGATTCAATACTGTACTACGCAGACGATGTGCTGCGCAGATTCGATACTGTACTACGCAGACGATGTGCTGCGCAGATTCGATACTGTACTACGCAGACGATGTGCTGCGCAGATTCGATACTGTACTACGCAGACGATGTGCTGCGCAGATTCGATACTGTACTACGCAGACGATGTGCTGCGCAGATTCAATACTGTACTACGCAGACGATGTGCTGCGCAGATTCAATACTGTACTACGCAGACGATGTGCTGCGCAGATTCGATACTGTACTACGCAGACGATGTGCTGCGCAGATTCGATACTGTACTACGCAGACGATGTGCTGCGCAGATTCGATACTGTACTACGCAGACGATGTACCGCGCAGATTCGATACTGTACTACGCAGACGATGTGCTGCGCAGATTCGATACTGTACTACGCAGACGATGTGCTGCGCAGATTCGATACTGTACTACGCAGACGATGTGCTGCGCAGATTCAATACTGTACTACGCAGACGATGTGCTGCGCAGATTCAATACTGTACTACGCAGACGATGTGCTGCGCAGATTCGATACTGTACTACGCAGACGATGTGCTGCGCAGATTCGATACTGTACTACGCAGACGATGTGCTGCGCAGATTCGATACTGTACTACGCAGACGATGTACCGCGCAGATTCGATACTGTACTACGCAGACGATGTACCGCGCAGATTCGATACTGTACTACGCAGACGATGCGCTGCGCAGATTCAATATGGTACTATGCAGACGATGTGCTGCGCAGATTCAGGGCCACCATGTTCAATACTTGCCCATCATTTTTGAGGCGCCTCAAAAACCATGTTCAATACTTGCCGTCCGCCTGCACTATGCAAACGCGAGGAGAGCAGCCTACCATGTGGGCGGCCTTGTTCACGACCACCACGTGCCCGCCCTCGTACACCACGTCCAGCGCTACAGCGGATGGCGTCAACTGCATGCCTTCATCTAAGAACGGAGAGTTGGGCATAACAACCTACCATGTGAGCTGCCTTATTGACCACCACCACGTGCCCGTCCTCGTACACCACGTCCAGCGCAACAGCGGACGGCTCCAGCGCCTGCAGGGCCTTGGGCGGGGCGAGACTGCCCTGCACCCTGTCGCCCTCCCTCACTGCGTACGATGGCTGGGGAAGGGGGGAAGATGGGGGGACGAAAGGGGGAAGAGGGGGGGACGAGGGGGGGCGAGGGGGGGCGAGGGGGGGCGAGGGGGGGAAGAGAGACGGAAGAGTAAAAAGAAACATCTCGACCGCCCTGCACCCTGTCGCCCTCCCTTACTGCGTACGAGGGCTGTGGAAGGGGGTGGGGGTGGGGGTGGGGGTGGGGGTGGATGAGGGAGGAGCTAGAGCAGGAGAGGGAGTCTTCCCCGCACCCTATCGGCCCTCCTGCACTGCGTACGATGGCTGGGGAGGGGGGGTGGGGTGCGGGTGGATGAGGGAAGAACAGGAAGAGGGAGGAGCTAGAGCAGAGAACGAGACTGGCCCCCACCCTATCGGCCACCTCACTGCGTATGATGACTGGGGAAGAAGGGGAGAGGGGGGGGGGGGGTGGGGGGGGGAGCGGGATGGGGGTAGGGGTGGGGGTGGGGGTGGGGAGAGGAGAACAGAAAGAGGGAAGAGTGAGAGCAACGAGCGAGAGTAAGAGCAAAGAGCGAGACTGCCCTGTACCCTGTCGCCCTCCCTCACTGCGTATGCTGGCTGGGAGTTAGGGAAACACTGGCGGAAAAGGGAAGAGGAAGGAGATGAGAAGGGGGATTGCTGCTCTGGGGGACCACGGGCGGAATAGAGGGGGAAACGGGGGAAATTGAGGGAGGAGGAGGGGGCGGGGGAGGGGACTCTCACATTCACCAAAGGGGGGGGTGTTTTTGAGAATTCTCAAAAACACTCTGCAAAAGGAAGGGACTCTCTGTTTCCTCACCTTCTTCTGGGCTCTGCCATTCACCAGCACTGTCCCTTCGCGAATGGCGTCCTGCCACCTGGCACGGCTGATCCTCTCCCCCTGTGCCGCCAGAAACGCATCGAGACGGGATTTGGCCTGGCTCCTAGGCACCACAACGTCTACAGATTCCCCCGCTATCGCCACACTCTGAGGCAGAGGCACCGTGTCTGAAGATTCTTCCGATATTAGAACGCCCCCGGCTGATTCCCCTGTGCCATGATTGCTGTCGTGCGACTCAGCTTCTAGCACACCTTTCAACCTAGCGGCAGCGAAGCTTCTGATGCCACGTGTCGCCTTCTGACTGGCGGAGACACGCGAGCTGACGTGTATGCACGGAGGCGTGAGATTAACGCTGAAGATATTCCCATTAATCTTGTATAGACACCTACCAGGGGTGGGAACACTCATCAGTGGTTGAGAAGCGGAGGGAATCGATCGATTCATGGCTAGCAATTGGCTTAAGGTCGAAAAACAATTAGAAGAATCCGGAGATCCGAGTTCTCTACGATGAACGGCGAGGATGGACTTGGGTGGAGCAGAGCGGCAATGAGGGAGCAGCGAACACGAGGCGAGACGGGAAAATGCAGCCACTGATGTGAGCACGCGATTGGCGAGCGGCCTCCGTAAAGGCCGGCGAACCGAACGAGGACAGCAGGCGAGCATACGACGGCGACTAGTAGCAAGTCACAGAGCAGGCACGGTAATAGCTGGCTGTGTTTATGTGCTTGTGACAAAGTTGTGTGGGTGGGGGGAATCTATATGTTGAATTCAAGAGTTCATGGTCCTGCATTGCGAAATGTTACTTGTATGGTGAGAATTTACGCTTTTTACATAGTGTCGAAACTCCCTATATATGATTCTCTGAATTTCCCACGCTCGCCATGTAAGTTTTCACTTGGCGCAACGTCAGCGTGCCACGTGAAAGTACTCCGGGGCCACCTTACCTCGGCAAGAAGGATCATCTTCGATGAAAACGGTTCAGATAGGTGAAAACGTTTTCGGCTTGTGTGGGTACGGTTCAGAAGCTGACAGCTGACCCCACCGAACCGAACAGAGCCGAATGGTAGCCTCGAGATTCGTTTCTGACAACTCCTAGGCTACCTTCTCAAATCCCTCGCTCATTTTGATCATTCATCTATTCCAGGCAGCCTCATCATTCCGTTATTTAGCCTCCTCTATTATCTTCAGGCCACTGCATTTCCAGCAGCCACGCATTCCCTTCGCTAGCAAGTTTCGCTTGCTGGTCGTGTGCAATTCGATCCGGTTGTCGCGGTGCAGTTCGACCAGGCTCAGCGGGTCCTGATCCTCGTGTGTCGAAGTCACGTGATCCCTGCATACAATTCGGCTCGGTTGTCTCTCTTGCTGCTCCAGTTGCCACGTGTCTAGCAGCAGGTACGATGGACGTGCTTGCAGTCCCGCAAGTCCACCCCCACCTTAATTCGCTAACATCTTCAACCGCTCTCCGACAATCCGCAGCAGCGAGAATCGTCGCCATAAGCAGCAGCAGCAGCAGCAGCAGCAGCAGCAGCAGCCTTGGACGAGCCCCGCTTAGCTGCACAGCGACTAGAAACCTCATCAGAATTCGCAGTGCTGTCACTCGTCAGTCCACCCGCCGATTCCGCCAGTACCGTCCTGATCTTCGCCGTGCTCTCCGCGTCAGCGCTAGCCAATCAGACGGCGACAACACGGGAAGTGAGAGCCATGGCACGTCAGCGGGTGTCGCAGTACCGGCAGCACCTGCTGCTACTAAGGACGAGCTGGTGAAGTACATCTCAGGCAACGCGGAGGTACGCCGGTTTAACTCGAGAAGACTGATTCAGATTCAGAATGTCCATGTTGTTCGTTAGTCGAACCAGCACCGGCTGCTAGTTCGTTAGTCGAACCAGCACCTCACCTGCTGCTACTAAGGACGAGCTGGTCAAATACATCTCAGGCAACGCGGAGGTACGGCGGTTTGGGCTGAGGAGAGTAAGGTTGAATGTTCAGCAATGCAACTTATAGATGCTCTTAATTTGAATATTGCCCATGATTGTAAGTGAACATGCCAGCGTTTCGCCTCCTCTTCATTGCACGAAGCGCGACTTCTGATTTCCACCTTTTTTACTTTACTATCCCACGTGTGCGATCCTGCAGGTGTCCGTGATGGTGGTGGTGGCCACTGATCTGGTCAAGGAGGCTCAGAGGAGACACGGCATGGCCCCCACGGTGAGTCATGTTGCACAGCTCTCACGGCGAGTCAGGTTGCATGGCTCCCACGGTGAGTCATGGTGCATGGCCCCACCGTGAGACATGGCGCATGGCTTCCACGGCGAGTCTCGGTGAAAGCGGTCAGTAATGGTTCATTCTCTGGTCTCTCGGCCACTCATGGTGTCCGTGATGGTGGTGGTGGCCATTGATCTGGTCAAGGAGGCTCAGAGGAGACACAGTGAGACGTGACTCACATAGTCCATCAGAGTTCCCACCGTCAGTCTTTCTTTCTACAGTACATCGCCATCAGTGTCGGTTCTTACCCGGTGATGGCTCATGCGGTCAGTTGTGGCTTTTGTTGCCAGTCAAGTCATGTCACCATCGCAATCATTTTTCTTTGCCATCTCCCTTGTTCGTATTCCTCTCTCCATGGATATGGAAAATTAGTTTTGAGACGTCTCAAAAGTTAACTACTTACGCAAGTTCGTTCGTATTGCTCTCCATGGATATGGCACATGGCAGCAGCTCAGCTCGTCTGTCCTTCGTGTCGGGTCACAGTGAATGAACAACCTGGGGCCAATCGGGTGACTGACAGCTGCTTCCAGGCATATTTTGAGTCGGCTCGAAATACACCTGGACATGGTACATGGCAGCAGCTCGTCTGTCCTTCGTGTCGGGTCACAGTGAACAACCTGGGGCCTATCGGGCGGCTGACAGCTGTTCCCAGGCAGCGCCAATAAGCTGTTCTCACAGTGTGCCTCTTTCTTTCATGTCTACTCTTTCCACAGGCGGTAGCAGCTCTGGGGAGACTGTTAATGAGGACACTGCTGCTGGGAGCCATGAAGGGCCCAGATGAGTCTGTGGAGGTCAGGGTGAACGGCCGGGGGCCAGGCAGCACTGACAATCTTTGCCTGCTACTTTCTCCTTTCCTCCATGTCTGCTCGTATCGCAGGCCATAGCAGCACTCGGGCGGCTGCTAATGGGTACACTGCTGCTGGGAGCAATGAAAGGGCCAGACGAGTCCGTGCAGGTCACAGTGAATGGCCGGGGACCGATCGGGCAGGTCACGGCTGTTTCCGCACAGCATGGGGAGGTGAAAGGATTCGCCCATAACCCTCTGGCGGATCCTCCTCTCAACTCCAAAGGCAAGGTGAGTGTCAGCTTTTGAGTCAACTTTTGAGGCGCCTCTAAAATAGACTCCTCACAGCACGGGGAGGTGAAGGGATTCGCGCATAACCCTCTGGCGGATCCTCCTCTCAACTCCGAAGGCAATGTGAGTGTCAGCTTTTGAGTCAACTCAATACATGGGGAGGTTGCGCTGTGCGCACAAACCTCTGGCGGATCCTCCTCTTCACTCGATGGGCAAGGTACGAGACAAGTCCCGGAAGAAAAAAAAACAGATTCAAAGTCTTCGAAAAACAGAAGAACGAAAGAAAGTGAAAAAAGGTGGGCTAGTGATCCTTTTCTAACCGAGAAGAAGTCTTCTGAAAGATTTTCAACTGGCAAGCCTTGAATGAGATCACTTGCTTTTACACTACCCTGTCATACCTGGGCATGTCTCAGAATAGTTCTCATTGATCCTCCATTGCTCTGTTCCTGGTGGCAGATGGACGTGGGTGGTGCCGTGGGCAAGGGAGTTCTTAGCGTCATCCGAACTCATCCTTCCTGGCAGTCCCCTTACACGTGAGCCTTATGGTCGAGTAAAAAACCGCATAATCCACGAGTCAATAGCACACTCATGCACACACCTGCACACTGAACCCGTCCCTCCTGGCAGTCTCCTTACACGCGAGCCGTATGGTCGAGTCAAAAGCCACATAAGCCATCAGTCAATCGCCCACTCACGCACACCTGCACACTAAACCCATCCAACCTGGCAGTCGCCTCACACGTGAGGCTTTAAGTAAATGGATTACTTCAATCCACAAGTCAAGAACACACTCTTGCACACCTGCACACTGTGCGAAAAATGCAGGGGGTGGGGGGAGGGAGGTGTATAAGAAGAGCAACGGGCTTTGTCAGCATCTCGATTTCTTCTCGTTGCCCTTCTGCCTTCTCTTCATTGCTTTCCTGTCCCCCCTTCAGTCTTGCTGTCAGCAATGCAACAGTCGTGCAACAGTCATGCAACAGTCGTGCAACAGTCGTGCAACAGTCGTGCAACAGTCGTGCAACAGTCGTGCAACAGTCGTGCACCCCCCCCCTGCTTTCGATTGCCTTCTTTTCATTGCTCTCCTGTCCCCCCTTCAGTTTTGTTTTGAGGCGCCTCAAAACTAGGCTTTCCTGTCCCCTTTTAAGATTTATTCAATGCTCCATGTACCTTAAGTGTCAGCAACCTGTCTCTCCACATCCCTCCACAATGAGTGGCACAGTGCGTCTGGTGTTGGGGGAGATAGCAGAGGACCTGGCGAACTACAAGGCAGAGAGAGTGAGCAGACCAACTCATCTTCTTCTCCCATCCCTCTTGCCTTTCTCCCCTTATTGTCCGTGCAACCAGCGGCACTGTGCCTCTGGTGTCAGGGGAGATAGCAGAAGACCTGGCGAACTATCTAGCGGAGAGTGAGCAGGTCAACTCTGCTCTGGGGCTGGGAGTGGCGGTGGGGAAGGACGGCATTGTCAGAGCAGCAGGCGGTTTTCTTGTTCAAGTGAGTGGTCAATCAATGCTGCCACCCTGTTCTCTGGCACCTCAAAATCCGGTCCTGGAGCTGGAAGCGGTGGTGGGGAAGGATGTCATTGTCAGGGCAGCAAGCGGGTTCCCAGTCCATGATTGATGCAATGCCACCGCTCTTTCTTTCTCTCCAAAGACTTGTTCATACTCCGGCTTGCGCATCTCGCATAGACTTGATAAGGAGGCGCATATTTTTTTCGTTTTCACCCCAGTGACCCATCATCCTTCCCTCTTCGTTTTGTCCTCTTCAATGCATGCTCCCTCCAGGTCCTTCCCTTCTGCTCAGACGAGACACTGGATCAGCTAGAGGCCAACGTCCAATCGCTGGGCGCCATGTCAGACGCAGTGCAGCGCATGGATGCAGCAGCCATTGCCCACCATCTCTTGCAGGGGCTTGCCCCCGAAGCAGTGATTGATCCGGTATGTTCCGACCTTGTGATTGGTGTGGTATGGCCCGAACCTCTTACGTGTCTGCAGTGCTGGTGCGATGTGTCACTGGCATAGTGGATGCAGTGCAGCATGTGGTTACCAGCCCCTTGAAACTGCCTCTTCATTTATTCACAAGCATCCTCTCTCTATTCTGATGAAGCATCCTATCCTGTCCGCTCTCGCCCCCTTCCATCCTACACGTGGAGCAGATTGTGCCTGCGTTTGGCCCGTGTGGGTTGGAGGACTTGAAGCCTCGCATGCTTAGAGCTGTGGAGTCTCTAGGAGCTGAGGATGTGAAGAAACTGATTGAGGAAAGAGGTGAGTGGAGGGTTTTGTGCTGTCAATTTGAAGATGCTTAGATTTGTTTTTGAGCTCGAGGAGCTCACTTAGCACAGTAGCATTTTGAAGGTTGACACAGGGAGTAGCTTGTGCTGAATGTACTCCCTTATGCTTTGGCCCTTGCATTGAGTGCTGCTCACTGCCTTATGTGGTGCAGGGTCAGTGGAGGTTCGCTGTGAGTTTTGTGCAGAAACAGTGGATTTCAAGGAGGAAGACTTGCATGACCTTCTAGTGGAGGCAGGAAAGGAATGATTGGGCGCTGGAAAACAGTGTTAGAAGTTGCGAAGCACTCTTTTATGAGTTATGTTGAGAGTAACTTCATCTATGTATTTGAGATGCACGCCATCTACGAATAACTTACTTTTTATACCATTCACCTTGCCTTTGACCATGACAGGGTGATCTTCAGGTTTGCTCCCATTATTCGTCCGAGTGCGATCGATAGTGTCAACTTATATATATATATTTGTGTAGGCCTGGTAGGTGTGCTATAATTACTGGGTACAGCACCCTTCTTGTATCCCTCTCTCTTTTAGTCCAACCATCTTTCTGTTAAATTATATATTGTGTTATATAATTGGTAGGCTTGGCAGGTTATCGAACTCTACTGTAGAGGGTACAATCCCCTCCTTGTATCCCTCTCCTAGTCTGACCCTCTTTTCCCTCTTTCCTACCGTTCCTAGATACCTAGCTCTCGTAATTTGGTAACAGAGCAGGTTCCCCTTCCCGGGCCTGCTCCCCACGCTTCCACCGCGCACTCTTTCTCTCCCTCTCGCGCTGCCATGGCGGGCTCGTCATGCTGCTGTGGCGGCGTCGTCGTGCTGCTGGCCGCGTCGTGCTGCGGCCGTCGCGACGCGCTGCCGTGGCGTCGCGCCGTTGTGGCGTCGCGCCGTTGTGGCGTCGACGTCCAGCCGTAGCGGCGTCGTCGACGTCAAGCCGTGGCGGCGTGACGGCACCGTAGACCTGCCGTCGCCGCGTCGACGTACCGCCGCGGCATCAACGCCGCACTGTGGCGGAGTCGTAAGGATGCCATGGCGGCGTCGTCGGGCTGCAGCCGGCCGCGCAACGCCTTTGGCGCCGCTAGACCTGCCGCCTGTACGCCAGCCGCGAGCGTGATACTGGACCACGCACCCCCCCCCCCCCCCTCCTTCCCCTGCGTCCCCTCCTCCTCGCCACAACCGACGCCTGACTCGTGGGGGTCCCCATCGTTGTGGAGCTTGGACACGCCGCCGAGAGGGCGGGGGCCGCTGCAGTCGCCGCTGTCGTCGAAGCCGCCGCCGCCGCCGCTGTCGTCGAAGCCGCCGCTGTCGCTGCCTGCGTTGGGGCCACGCAGCCGCACGCTGCCGCCGCCGCCACTGTCGACACTGCCGCCGCCGCCACTGTCGACACTGCCGCCGCAGCCGCCGTTGCCATCTCACGGGCCGTGGGGTTGGCCCTGCCGGAGTTGTCGTGGCTGCTGCTGGGAATGGGGGTGCTAGGTTAGGGGGTGTGGGTGTGTGTGGGTCCTACTACCAAGCCTAGGGGGTGTGTTAAATTATATATTGTGTTATATAATTGGTAGACTTGGTAGGTTATCGAACTCTATTGTAGAGGGTACAATCCCCTCCTTGTATCCCTCTCTCCTTCTAGTCTGACCCTCTGTTCTCTGGTAACTTTCTCCTAGCTAAACCCTCACGCCATTTTCATGGCTTCCTACCGTTCCTAGCCACCTAGCTCTCGTAATACTTTTCTCTCGTCATTTTTCTCCCTAGCTAAAACCTCTCGACATTCCTAATGCCCAGCAACCTAGTTAGCTCCTTCTAACATGGTTTCAAAGTAGGAAGATCATGCTGCACCTTGTCATCACGCTTCCGCAGCGTACTCTTTCCCTTCCCGCACATTCGCGCCGCCGTGGCGGCCACGTCGCGCTGCCACGGCGGTCTCACGGCGCTGCCGCGGCGACCTCGTCGAGCAACCGTGGCGGCAGCGCGGCGACCTCGTCAATTTCGCACCGCCTTGGCGGCCACGTTGTGCTGCCATGGCGGCCCCGTTGTGCTGCTATGGCGGCCTCGACACACTGCCGTGACGTCGACGCCACGCCGTGGCGGCGGCGTCGTCATGCTGCCATGGCGGCTTCGCCGTGCCGCCGTTCCACCGAGCCACTGTGTCGCCGTGTTGCTGTCCCGCCATGCTGTCGTGCCACGGTGCCGCCGCGCCGCTGTGTCGTCGTACCGCTGGGTCACCGTGCCGCTGGGTCGCCGTGCTGCCGTGCACCTTGTAGTCGTATTGTTGTGGCGGCTTTGTCGCGCCAGCGCACGGACGGCTGCGGCCAGCGCCCTGTCTTAGGCACCAGCCATGACGCTCGCGCGCCAGCCAGTGCGCCAGTCACGGGCACCTTGCTGAAGCACGCCCCTCCTCTATGTCTCCCCTTTTTCCAGCCGCGGCTGATGACTCCATACCCGATCGTCGCCGAGCCGTGCCACGCCGCTGGGTGCCGCGAGCTTTGCAGTCGCCGCTGCCGTCGTCGAAGCCGGCGCCGCCGCCGCCGCTGTCGTCGTCGTAGAAGCCGCCGCTGACGACGTTGCTGCCACCCGCCGCCGTTGTCGCCGCTTCGCACGAGGGGTAGAAGCCACACCTGTTGCAGGACATGGGGGTCCACGTGCTTGGGGGTGTTGCATGTGGGGTGGGCTTGCGAGTACCAAGCCTAGGGGGTGTGTCAAATTATATATTATATATATATATTTGTGTAGGCTTGGTAGGTGTGCGACAATTACTAAATCCTACTGTAGAAGGTACAACACCCTTCTTGTATCCCTCTCTCTTCTAGTCCAACCCTCTTTTCTCCCTAGCTCAAACCTCTCGACATTCCTAATGCCTAACTACCTAGTTAACTCCTTCTAACAGATGGCATGTATCAGTACCACAACTTCGTGGGAATGCTTAAGTTTGGACGACAAAGCCTCGCCAGTAGGGGGCCCGTTTGCTACTGAGTTTTCCCATTTCCTGGCTTCTCCTTGCCGTTCTTCGTCTTGGGCGCCGCAAGGCTTTACTTAGCTCGGTGATCTGGCTTGTCACATCTATAACATAGCCCGTGAAATTCTTTGTCGGGCGCAAACACGCCATTGATCGTGGGGCGGGGAGCAGGGTCCTCCTTAGGCTTTTTGCAATTTATGATCATATGAAGCCCTTATTTCCAGTTTCTGATCATCAGAAGCCCATATCCTCAGTTTCTAAAAATTCGGAAGAATCACATAAATATGTTTCGGGAAAATCAGAAGTTTGAACGACTAGCCTCTGTCTGAGTTCATTGTTCATGATTTACTTGTAACAGTTTCTCCATGTGCTACAAGGACGCCAATTTAGGAACTTCTCATGGGGGCGTATTCGAAACCTAGAAGTCAAACGACCATCGGAGCTGACCTCTTGGCTCTGCTTCTCCTCTATTCAATTCAAACCTCCATGTTCCGACCTTTAGCCCTGCTCCCTGTCCCGCTCCCCCCTTTCTCCCCTCTCGCGCAATTTAGTGCAGTGCCAAGTGTCGAAATCAGCATAATGATGCGGTTTAGTAGAACGATGCACTCGAGTTATCGCTAAATCCAGGAAGACGCCTCCAGTATCGGGGCTCTCCCGGCAAGAATTGTCTGTAGACAAACAGATTCGCTTCTCATGAAATTTCAGAAGGACCAGTATACGCTTTATGAAAATTCTGAAGCTTACAAAATCAATTTCTAAGGCATCAGAAATTTGAAAACCGGGCTTCTAAAAAATCAGAAGAAAAAGAAAGAAAAAATGTGTATGAAAATTAGACAAACAGACATATTTTGTCTGGTGAGGACCTTGGCGGCGAGACTGTCCACAAAAATGACAAGCATCTCTGATGTTCTTCTTCGCCCACTGCTGCAATGCATAATCTGCTGACGCCAGCTGGACAGCCTCATCGAATGTCTTGGGTCGGGACCGCTGCAACTCACAATGAATAAAAAGAATGCAGCCCGCCGATGTATTTTTCCTACCTTTTTGCTTCGCTGAGGTCGTCCACTTGGTCTGCAAGTGCCGAGAACGACGCACTGTAATCTTGAAAAGTAGTTGTCAATTTATACATATATTTGTATGTAGAAGTTATAGGCTAGATAGGTGTGTGTTCTTAGAGGGTACAACTCCAACCCTAGATCTCTCTTGTTCACCCTTGTTTCTATTCATTCTCGTATTCTAACATGGTATCATAGTAGGTTAGGTCCTCCCGCCCGCTTCCGCCCCTCGCCCTAGCCTACTGTTCCGCCGGCCCCCCCCCACCCTTAGCATACCGCCGGCCCCTAGCCCGTCGTGCCGGCCCCTTAGCGCCCGCCGCCCCCTCGCGCCTAGCCCCCCCCTGCCCTCGCACACACCCGGCCCCTCGCGCGACCATGCTGGCCCCTCGCGTACCCCGCCGGCCCCTAGCCCATCGTGCCGGCCCCTCGAGCCTAGCCGGCCCCACGCGTAACACCGGCCCCTCGCGCGCCCACGCCGCCCCCTTAGCTTGCCGTGCCGGCCCCTCGCGCCTAGCCGGCCCCTCGCATTCTCGCCGGCCCCTCGCGCCTAACTGGCCCCTCGCGCCTAGCCGGCCCCTCGCGCCTAGCTGGCCCTTCGCGCTCACTAGCCCTCGTGCGTCCGGCAGACCCTCGCGTACCTCCCTGGCCCCTCCTGCACCTTTCTAGCCCTAGACGCCCCGCCGGCTCTTCGAGCGCCCACTGGCCCTCATGCGCCACCTGGCCAAGTGCTCCCCCGGCCCTTTGCTCCCTGCCGGCCCTGAGCGCCTCTGGCCCTCTTCGGCCTTCCGCCCGGTTTTCCTGCCGGCAGGCCCTGTCACCATGGCGCTGTGCCGCTGAGTACCTGTATCGCCGTGTACCCGTGCTGCTGTGCCGCCATGATGATGTGTTGCCGTGGACCTGTGCCGCTGAGGTTGCACGATGGCGGACGCCGTACTTCGCCTGGACGCGGAGGGGCACGCGATCGACTTCGCCGCCTGGCTTGTCGATCTTCGCCGGCACCTGACAGGTCAGTGCTAGGATGGGCACTCCCTGGCTATGCACGTTGATGGCTTGCTTCCCCGCCCCTCTGCGCCTGATCCCCTCCCTACTGACCCCATCACTGCCGAGAGTGAGACCTTTGCTGCTGCTGCGCTCGCTGGCGCTATCTGGTATTCTCGCAACGCTGTAGCGCAACTCGTCATTAGTCATGCGTTTGCCCTGTCTGAGTGTCCGCGCTTCACTGCTGTCGCGAACGCCAAGGACTTCCTAGATGCAGTAGTTGCACGCTTCTCCACCCCTGCCTCCGCCTCCGCTGGCCATTTGATCCTCCCTATGCTATTCCCCGATCTTTCTACTTTCTCCAGCTATCGCTGACATCGCCTCTAACCGCCGCCTTGACTACGCCACCGCTCTGGTCTCTGACCCTGTCTGTCCTCCGTTCGTCCGGGGTGCACCTATCCTTGGTAGTGTCGTCATAGAGGACAAGCAGTACGAGCTTGCTTTCCTGGCTCAGGCTACTCCCCATCTCTGTTCTATGCTGCTAGTCCCTGAGGGTG